AGAAAAACATAAGTTCAAGAAGTCTTGATAGAAATGAATAAAAATCCTATAACACGAGCACTTTCGAAAGTTGGACCTTTCTTCTTCAGGGGCAAACTGGGAATGGTGGTGTAATTGAATAAGTGATATATATAAAGGGAGTTTAGTGACATCGTGAAGGTCATCCGGTTTTCCAGGAAATGTTTAGTCTACTTCTCTCTGTACTGTTGTAAGCATCTCATTTCTGGTATGGTGTAGCCGATGGTGAGAATGTATGTGAAAAGGTGTTAGGGATATTTTACTTTAGAAATGGATAAATATATGTATATTTAAGACTATACTTAAGTGTTTGGGTAAAATAAAGGTGACACCTGGAAACTGATTGAAAACGATATGTTATGCTAATTAATTTATAAAAACAGGTATGGAAAATTATCTTAAATAAATAGTAAGTTTCAGGAAATTCAGCAATCACATGAAGTAAATAGACTATCCTAGTACGAACTTCCATTGAATCTTCTGGAAATGAGGTGAATGTAGGAAGTTTTCTGTTGTAATGTGTGTGTGTGTGTGTGCACTATTTTTGGCAGTTTGATGATCACTGGCAGTGCTAGTGGTATACTACAATTCTGAATTGAGGCTTCCTACCCATTTACACAGATAATCTTATCAGACAAGGCAGTGTTTTCTTGCAAGATATGGCTCCTGCTTAGTCAGATCAATTCAACGAATTATGACTTGAAGATCAGGGTATTATCGCTCTCTCGCTACTAAGCTATTGACCAGATATGGATCCTGTCATGGATGTGTGATCCATTCTTGATTATCCTCTGCAAAACTATTCAAAATAATCAACTTCTAGGGATACACTTATCCTAGTTCTTCAACAGGAGTAAGATGCAATGCCACAGGCTCTGATTTCAGACCTTGTAAATATGATGTGTAACTGTGTTTTTGTCTTAGATATTGTAAGTTACAGAACCATTTACCCCTTTACTGCAAGACTGCACTCTTTAAATTCCGTTGTGTACGTCACTAGGTTTTACTGAGTTACATTTAAAATTTAATTAAACTACTTTACTTTCCATGTATTTTAATGAAATTAGCATTATCAAGTACATTATTATTTAAGTTTTGATTCCTTTATTTCAAAATAAACTTCTAAAACAATACTTAAAACTTCATTTTTGTTGTCACGTGATGCACTAGTGTTAAAAAATATCTTTACTTTCATGTCTACTACATCAGTAGTGCACCATCTGCAGTGTATGTGTATGCTTAGACACAAAACTATGTGTACAGGGCTGTTTACCAATCACTTATTTCAAATTCCATCTGGTCAATTAGCAGAACAAAGTAGTATTCTTCCCTTCTGACAGTAGCCAGTAGTAGAAAGGGGAATTCTACACCAATATATTCATATTTGAAATAGAAGTTTATAAACAATAGGAAGAGCTAATATTAAACTATAATCTCTCAATGGTTATTTTAAAACTGGTGAGCATTATTCGTTCACAAGCTCATCAAATTGCTAAGGCATTGTTGGCGTTCATTGTTGCTAGCACATAGTTTTTTTTCTCTCACCTTATACATATTATTTTGATAGACAGTTAAATTGTATTTAGGTTTTTACTTTTATATTTTAGTTATTTACACATCTTTTAGTTTTGAAAGGTTTAATAACTGTTTTAGTATAACCCAAGCTTTACCTTGCTCCACAAAGCTTATGTAACTTAGCCAGATGAAAAACATTTTGCCAGAGGCTAAAGTATGTCTGCTGATGATACTGTTATATTGTCTGTGGGCATCCATTGGTGTGTGTTGACATAAATTATCAACAGTAAAGAGCAAGAAAGAAAGTAAAACATTATAATTAAGAACTGACTTGTATAATATTAAAATTTGATTTATTATCTATGATTTGAAGTAAAGTTTGTTCGTATACCTTGATAATTAGTAGTTTAATTAAATTTTGAATGTAACTCACTAAAATGTTGTGACATGTGCAGTTTGACCTGCCTGCATGCTAAATGTTAATCATGTACGCACATACTTAATGTGCAATCAGTCATGTAGGAACATTCACGTTCTCTTCCAGAGCATGGGAGTCACCAGTTTCCCATATGTCATGCTATTGCCGATTTTTCATTGTGAGATTTGCTTATCGACTGAAGTATGAACTCAAAACTATCACACCAAACATTTATAATTCTATGAAAAGTAAAACTGAAATACCAGAGGAGGCATTCAGTCAAAACTCTGAAGATGGGACATGTGATAACAGATATTATTGTCAACATAGGATATACTATAAACCAGTACTGGTACTGACAACCAGGTACCGGTAGTGGATGCCAAGTTCTGCTGGTACTGTTACCGACTGCAAACCCTGGTTATGTGTATATATGCTAATAATACGCTAAAAAGGTCACTAACATTTCTGGTATAACAATTAAAAATTTCTAAAACAACAACTTTTTCATCTACTACTTACCTATCTGATCATGTCAGCAGGGCTAGTGCCAAGAAGGCTCAGATAATCACTATAAAATTTCTCCAGCAATAAAAATCCATATGTATATATATATACACAGGTATAATATAAATGGTAAACATATATATGTATTTAAATATCTTTTCAACCCAACGGATGATGCTACAAATCTATGAATAAACATACAACAGTTTCTAAAGGTAAAGTATATACTTTATACAGGTATAATTTAAAAAGTAAAAGAATAAGAGTATTAAAAAATTATTAATTTTAAAATTAAGTAGGGATCCTGCTGCAAAAAGTAATGAAACAAATTAAAACCACAATCACTTTGGCAGCTTTATACACTTATCTGTAGGTCAAAGTAAGGATTAAATTTTATAAATTTGTATTGTGGTTTTAATTCTTGTAAAAGTTATAGCTATCAGGGATATGGCTATACTGAAAGTTTATAGATGTTGTTTCCATTCCATGGACATATAATAACTGAATAAATAAAGAGGAAAACATTAAAATTTTAACAGAAAGTAGGAATCGTTGGTTATTCGTATAATTGCTATAAGAGGTATCCAAAACAAAATAAATGCTGTAATAAAAAGTACACAAACAAGTAAAGTGATACTAGTTGGATAGATTTTAAAATGATTTTCAATTCCTACTTTACCTTCAGAAAGACAGTACTGTAAACTTTTTTTTTTTCCTAATGATGTTGGTGTTCCACAATATAATTTTTTGTATTTCAAATAATGTGCAATTTAGAATACAAAATATTATCAAACAAATAATAGATTGTCCTAAAACTTTAATAACTTAACTGGCTTTCTAACTAATCTATATTAAGTGGGTTAAACGATTTGTTTAACTGATTGAGATGAACAACACAATAGCAAACAATGAAAATGAGGCCAAATGTTTCAAAACCAGGTGCATGAATGAACTAGCCTTGTAAAGAATTCAGTAAAGCAGAATTTTCTCCTTCTATTGATTATGAATAATCCAAAAGCAAATGTCAGAAAAAATTACTGATATTTTTTGAAAGACTGGATGTGATAAGAAGGTCATGGCATATGAATTTGACTTTCTTGTTTATACCTCAGTAAATCAAGAAGCTTAGAAGCTATAAATCTAAATTATGGCTGAGCATCATCTATAGTATTCAGAGTGTGTAATTTGTGCCAAACTTGGAATATCATACAGGAATAGAAAAAAACCTAAAATGGTCAATTCAGAGAGAATAAGTATCATAGAATACAGAGAAATGAAGATCCAAAATTTATTTAAATATTTTTCTTTGAAATTAAGAAATTAAAAGTTGTATGATATTAAAATTTGAATTATAAATTATAAACACCACAATAGCAAACAATTAAAATGATTGTTTCTTTGTTATTAAGCACAAAGCTACACAATGGGCTATCTGTGCTCTGCCCACCACGGGTATCGAAACCCGGATTTTAGCATTGTAAGTCTGCAGACATACCGCTGTACCACTGGGGGGCCAATTAAAATGAGGCCAAATATTTCAAAACTAGGTGCATGAATCAACTAGCCTTGTAAATAATTCTGTAAGGTAGAATTTTCTCTTTCTGTTGGTTATGATTTGCTAACTCAGAAGAATGGATACTTGTAGATTTACTAACTTAGAGGAAAGGATACCTGTAGACTTACTAACTTAAAGGAAAGGCTACCTGTAGAATTACTAACTTAGAGGAAAGGATACCTGTAGACTTACTAACTTAGAAGAAAGGCTACCTGTAGATTTACTAACTTAGAGGAAAGGATACCTGTAGACTTACTAACTTAAAGGAAAGGCTACCTGTAGATTTACTAACTTAGAGGAAAGGATACCTGTAGACTTACTAACTTAGAGGAAAGGATACCTGTAGATTTACTAACTTAGAGGAAAGGATACCTGTAGACTTACTAACTCAGAGGAAAGGCTACCTTTAGATTTACTAACTTAGAGGAAAGGCTACCTGTAGACTTAAGAAGACCTGTAGACCTGTAGAATTAAGAAATTAATACTTGTATGATATTAAGATTTGAATTATAAATTATGCTTTTATGCCAAACTTATTGACAAACATTGGTAATAAGTTTAATTACTTTTGAATGTAACTCTGTAAAAAAGGTTGTGACATGAAGTTTCACCCACAAAAATTCAGAGAATTAAAGAAGTTAGTAAAGTTTGATAATATTCAATGGCATTGATACTCTTCATATCTTTCAGAGCATTTAGAGAGGGCCTGGCATGGCCAGGTGATTATGGCACTTGGCTCCCAGCATGAGCGTCGTGGTTCGAATTCCTGTCCCACCAAATGTGTTCGGCCTTTTGCCCATGGGAGCTTTAAAATGTGACAGTCAATCCCATTATCCATTGGTAAAAGAGTAACCCAAAAAATTAGGGACAGCTAGCACAGATAGACCTCATGTAGTTTTGCACAAAATTCAAAACAAATCAAACCATTTAGAGAGTTAAACATTTTAAGCACTTTGATTTTAAAGTAAATGTTTCATATGATTGTCAGAAACTAATATTACTACAAAACATAAACATCTAGTTATCTTTTATTTAAAGGAGGTTACTTTTGTTATTTGTTATCCATACAGAATAGAGTAGTGCTTTTGTGGTGATTATTATTCTTTCTGTTGTAAGTAAAGTTTAGTCTAAGTTGAAATTGACCTCGTATAAACATAGAATAGTTCACTTTCAGTTTTTATGGTGTATATCATCTGAAGAACTTAATTAAAACATCTCTTCTTTAACGACTGTATCAAAATATAAGAAAACAACTCCAGTGGTGGAGATCATTGTGACCTGGTGAAACATTTTTTTCTGCTGGAAACTCTCAAAAAAATAAGAATGAAATGTATACCATGATATACAAAGTTTATAATTTGAATGAATATTTGTTGGAAACATTTACAAATAAGTTACATTTCCAAAGGCTTAAATTATAAAAAAAAATACTAAAGATAATTGAAAAGATAATTAGTTTTATTTTAGTCTTTAAAAACTTATTTCTAATTCAGAAAGAAAGTGGTGAATTCACTGTTTTGGTGAGGGCTTTAGATCGGTTCCACCGCAGACTTCAAGCAATGAACAAGTTGCTACCTGACTCTGATTTTTCTAGGTAAGGCTAAAATATATGAAAATACTTGATTGTCAAGTCTTGCATGAAAAATATTTTGATTTATTGAAAATATGAGGACACAAGGAAATATTTAGAAAACTTTATAAACAGAAATCTTCACATGTGAAGTATTAGGTCGTCAAGAAATTAATGTACTGTTTTGGAACACTCAGCAAACACCCACCCCCCCAAAAAAAAAAAACGTTCCTCCCCAAAAAAAGTAAAATAAGCTGCCTATCCCTCGCATTAGTGTAGCCTATATAATGTGTAAAGTTTAGTATAC